GGCGGCGCTGCAGCTTCACCTCGCAGCAGCAGTAACCGGATATGTGATGGATATACAGCTCAGGTGCCCAGGGTTTAGGGTTTAGGGTTTAGGGTTTAGGGTTTCGGCAGAAGGCTTGCATTTTCGCAGGTGTAGTGTAGTGTTCAAAGGTTGAGGGATTAGGGTTTAGGGTTTAGGGTTTAGGGTTTGTGGGGTTGTATGCAGGCCTGCTAAGAGCTCTCTGTACATGTCCCGCGTTCTGTGGCTGTTGTCTTACGATGGAGACACTCGCCCGCCTTGTCCTTCAACGGCAGCGGCAGCAGCAGCAGCAGCTGCTGCTGCTGCTGCTACAACAGCTCCTGTTGATCCAGCAGCAGCCGTGGCAGCTGCTGCTGCTGGAGCTCCTGTTGATGCTGCTGCTGGGCTATCCTCTGCTGCTGCTGCGAGCGACACGACACCTTCGCCCGGCGCAGCAGCAGCGGGAACAGCAGCAGCCGCGGGGCCTTCTGCTGCAGCAGGGGCCCCAGCAGCAGCAGCAGCAGCAGCAGCAAGCAAAGAGTCTTCGCTGTGCCTCCGAGTGTTCAGACAGCTCATGGGGAAGTGCACGCAGCCTCAGCAGCTGCTGCCGTGGCTGCCGCAAATGTTGACTGGGCTCGACAGACCCGTAAGCAACCTGTGCTGCTGCTGCTTCTGCTGCTCTTGCTGCTGCTGCTGCTGCTGCTGCCGCAGCAGCAGTAGAGCAGGTTTGTTGGGCGAGCCATATTTTTCTTGCAGCTGATGCTGCTTGTTCTGCTGCTGCTGCAGTGGATCAGGGGTGTTGTGGGAGGACTATATTGCTGTTGCTGCAGCTTTTTTTGCATGTCTTGCTGCTGCTGCTGCATTCAGGAAGCACCGGAGCTGGAGCGGCTGCTGTACGCGCTGCTGCTGCAGGCGCCGCAGCAGCTGTACTTCGACATTAGGACGACATATCTAGAGAAGAGGGAACAGTATGCGCAGCAGCAGCTGCTGCAGACGTTGAAACCGCAGCAGCAGCAGCAGCAGCAGCAGCAGGCCCAGCAGCAGCAGCAGCAGGCGCAGCAGCAGCAGCAGCAGCAGCAGCTGCCGCCGCAGCAGCAAAGCCTGACACTCCTCTCCTGGTTGATGACGGTCTTTAGGGCCTCCTTCACTCCGCAGTGCATAGCCCTCGATCATCTTGCAGGTGCGGCAAAGGGTTTGGGGTTTAGGGTTTGGGGGGTTTCTACTAGGGTTATAATTAGGCCTGGTGTTTAGGGTTTAGGGTTTAGGGTTTAGGGTTTAGGGTTTCGAAGGACACTGTAGAGAGCAGCGCTTTGCCAAGGGGATTCATTTTTGCTAAGCCCTAATCAGAGTAATTTAGTGTTAAGGGTTTAGGGTTTCCAGAGTAAGGCTTTTTCGTCTTAGAGGTTAGGGTTTGCTCTTTAGGGTTTAGGGTTTAACATTTAGAGTTTAGGGTTCCAGGTTAAGTGTCTACGCTTTAGAGTTTGAGGTCTAGGGTTTAGGGTTTAGGGTTTAGGGTTTTTTTTTAGGGTTTAGGTTTTGGGGAGTTTTTTAGAGTTTAGGGCTTTTTAAGAGTTTAGGGTTTTTTTAGGGTTTAGGGTTTAGGGTTTAGGGTTTAGGGTTTAGGGTTTGTGTGTGTTGTGTGTCAGAGGAGTTGGTGGCGCATGCGAAGCCTTCGACTGTAGACGAAATAGTTTGTGCTGTACGCACGCTGCTGCAGCAATGCTTAGAGGTCCCGCATGGCAGCAACACGCTTCCTGCAGTTGCTGCTCAGTTTTTGCGAGTGAATATTGTTTCTCGATTCAAGAGCCGCTACGGTACAGAGCCTCCGCCTGCTGCTGCTGGTGCTGCTGCTGCTGGCAGCAAAAACAGGAAGGGCGCCAGCAGCCGCAGCGGTTGCTGCTGCGGTGGTGCAGCAGCAGAGTCTACTCGTCGAGTAATGCGCAGTTTGTGGCCTCTATTTAAAGAAGATTTTGAATTTGCTACATCTCCTGACCCAACTCCCAGCAGCAGCAGCAGCAACAGCAGCAGCAGCAGCAGCAGCAGCAGTGGTGGTGGTGTGGGTCTATGCGAGGTTATTGCGAAATTAAAGAATTTAAAGTTTAGGGTTTCAGCTTAAGTGTCTACGGTTTAGAGTGTCTAAGGTTTAGGGTTTAGGGTTTAGGGTTTTTTTTAGGGTTTAGGTTTTGGGGAGTTTTTTAGAGTTTAGGGTTTTTTAAGAGTTTAGGGTTTTTTAGGGTTTAGGGTTTAGGGTTTAGGGTTTAGGGTTTAGGGTTTGTGTGTGTTGTGTGTCAGAGGAGTTGGTGGCGCATGCGAAGCCTTCGACTGTAGACGAAATAGTTTGTGCTGTACGCACGCTGCTGCAGCAATGCTTAGAGGTCCCGCATGGCAGCAACACGCTTCCTGCAGTTGCTGCTCAGTTTTTGCGAGTGAATATTGTTTCTCGATTCAAGAGCCGCTACGGTACAGAGCCTCCGCCTGCTGCTGCTGGTGCTGCTGCTGCTGGCAGCAAAAACAGGAAGGGCGCCAGCAGCCGCAGCGGTTGCTGCTGCGGTGGTGCAGCAGCAGAGTCTACTCGTCGAGTAATGCGCAGTTTGTGGCCTCTATTTAAAGAAGATTTTGAATTTGCTACATCTCCTGACCCAACTCCCAGCAGCAGCAGCAGCAACAGCAGCAGCAGCAGCAGCAGCAGCAGTGGTGGTGGTGTGGGTCTATGCGAGGTTATTGCGAAATTAAAGAGATGGAAGGACTACTTAACATGTAGAGCGCAGTGCTACGAGCAGCAGACTCCTCTTGAAGACGTAGGAGCTTCATTAAGAGATGTGTTTATGCGAGTTAGCGTTGAGATTGAAGTTCCTGGGCTGCGTTTGCTGCAGCTCGGGGAGTGCAGCGGGGGTTTGCTGCACGGGGGGCAGCAGCAGAGGCCTGCGGTGTACATACAGCAGTTTGGTGCAGCATATTCGTCTGTTACAAGATCTCATTATACACTCAAAAGAATTCAATTCATCGGTTCAAATGGCTGCAGCTATTGCTTCCTTGTGCAGCCTTATACAACAGCGCATCAAAGAACAGAGCAGCGGCTGCTGTGCTTGCTGCTGCAGCTGAATCGCTTGCTGCTGCGTCATAACCCATCTAGGCGTAGGGGTCTGGCCTTCCCTCTATCTGCGCAGGTGTCTATACACCCCAGATGTAGGCTTTTAGAAGATATGCCTTCATGCATTACGCTGCAGCAAATTCTTAATGAAGCTTCTCGCGCTGCAGCAGAACCTATGAAGCAAGACCCGGACCTCCCCGTGCTGCTTCATAGAAAAATGATGGCTCACGAAATCAGCAGCAAAATGCTGCAGCACGCGCTGCACATGCTGCAGCACGACAGCAGCAACAACAGCAACGCCGCACTCAACAACGCACACCAGCAGCAGCAGCAGCAGCAACAACAGCAACAGCAACAGCAGCAACACAGCACGCCACTTCAAAACCCCAGCAGCAATAACGCCAACAGCAACAGCAGCAGCAGCAGCAGCAATGTGCGGCGCCTGCCGCAGCAATTGCTGCAGATATTTACTACTCCGGGCTTCTGCCAGGATGAAGAACAGCAGCAAATCCTTGATCGTATCCTGGAGCTGCAGCCCCTCGATTCTGCTGCTGCTGATACTCCTGCTGCTGCAGCTTCGGGCGCTGCTGCTGCAGCATCCGAAACATCTGCTGCGGCTTCAGAGAGCAGCGTCGCTGCAGCACCAGCAGCAGTTGGTACCGCAACAGGAGCAGGAGGAGAAGCTTTCCCCAGCAGCAGCAGCAGCGAGACGGGCAGCAGCAGCAGCAGCAGCAATAGCAGCAGCAACAACAATAACATGAAGGATTCAAGTTCCTCCACAGCACCTTCCACGGCGGAGCAGGATCCTTATCAGCGGCAGCAGCAGCAGCAGCAACAGCAGCAGCAGCAGCAGCATTTGTTGCTGCAGCAGGAGCAGGAGCAGCGTTGGGTGTCTGAATTTCAAAGAAGCTGTCATCTCGAGGCAGCTCAATCTGTTTATAATTCTTTGTGCGAGTTGGTCTCTGATTGCGTGCTTAGGGTGTACGTACACCGCAGAGTGCGTACAGCTGAGGAGTTATTTGTATTTAAGCGTCAGTTTACGCAAAGCCACGCTCTTTACTGTATTCTTAATTATATCTTTTCAATGACAGATATAACTCCAGCAAAAATACTCGTTGATATAGAGACAGGACAAGTGCAGCAAGGAGAGCTAAAGGCTTGCTATTGTTCGTCTTCATTTCTTTTGAGTGCAACAGAAAGGCTGCCCTTCAGATTAACAAGAAATATTGAAGTTCTTATTGATGTATTTGGAAGGACAGGGCTGCTACCCGGGTGTATGTACACCTTAGTTTGCTGCCTTCAACGATACTCCAGCCATTTCTCAAATGCTGCAGCACTTCTCGTCAGAGATGATGTGACATTCTTCTATAGACAAAAACAGCAGCAGCAGCAGCATATACTCCTCCAGCAACAGCAGCAGCAGCAGCAACAGCAGCAGCAGCAACAGCAACAGCAGGATGATCCCAACAGCCAACACCAGCAACCCGCAGGTTCCGTCTCACCGCAGCAGCAGCAGCAGCAGCAGCAGCAACCTGCTCTCAGCAGCAGCAGCAGCAGCAGCATTGCTGAGGAAACAGCTGCAATTCGCCGCGTTGTGGATATTAACATCAGTCGTATTTCTGAAACCCTCAAAAGACTGCAGGGAACGCCGCAGCCTGCAGCTGAACCAAAAGTAAGCTTAGGGTTTAGGGTTTAGGGTTTAGGGTTTAGGGTTTAGGGTTTGTTATTATACTAATTGTAAATGTTATATTTTCTGTCTCTTCTTTATTTCTTTTTGTTTATTCTTGTAACCCTCAAAAGACTGCAGGGAACGCCGCAGCCTGCAGCTGAACCAAAAGTAAGCTTAGGGTTTAGGGTTTAGGGTTTAGGGTTTAGGGTTTGTTATTATACTAATTGTAAATGTTATATTTTCTGTCTCTTCTTTATTTCTTTTTGTTTATTCTTGTAGATGTACGTTATTATTTTATTTATATTTCTTTGTTTTCTTTGTTTGTTCTCGTTGGTATGTTTATGCATTTGGTTTTTATTTATTATTTATATTTATTTATTTATTTATTTATTTTTCTCTTTGTTTATGTTCTGCTGCTGCAGCCTGAGCAGCTGCCTATTGACTCGCAGGTCGCTCTTCTCCTCCGCATTGCTACACGCAAAGACATCTTGGCTACTGCTAAGCCCACATGGCAGGCTTGGTATTAATAGCTAGCTAGCTAGCTAGCTAGCTAGCTAGCTAGATGACTAGCTAGCTAGGGAGTTCAGCTCCGTTGCTGCCCCACCTGTAGCCAGCAAACCTTAGGAGCGGCTCCTCGCTGCAACAGCAGCAGCATGCGTCTGTTGTAACACCCAGCAGATTGTTGGGACCCTAGCGAAGCAACTAGCTAGCTAGCTAGCTAGCCAGTTGGTGGCTAGCTAGCTGACTAGCTAGCCAACTATACAGTTTGTTTGGGCTGAGATGAGGGCCCAGTACTGCCCCTCAAGCCCCAGGGAGAGTTGTTTGTAACCAACTCTTTTCAAGCGTATATACACCTCAGGAAGAGGGGGGTTAGCAGTAGCTAGCTAGCTAGCCAGATACCATACTTATTCTAGACTGGCAAGCATGCGAGCTATACAGCTAGCTAGGGAGCTACCTACCTAGCTAGCTAGCTAGCTAGCTAGCTAAAGAGACAGACAAGTCATCAACGTAAGCATTCACAACAGTATAACCTTGCGTTTGTAGATAAACAGATCAAAGCCGCGCAGCCAGCTACAGAGTCGCCGCCTGCACTTGGCCAGCCGCCACGCCAACTGGCTAGCTGGCTGGCTAGCTAGCTAGCTAGCTAGCTAGCCAGCATCTCGTGATGTTACTTCCAGAGGTCATTAGGGGAACCCACCTCGACGTGAGGAGGCTGACTGCCTCCTCCTGTAGCCCCGCTCGGTCGCTAGAGCGGCTCCTTCGCTAGCTAGCTAGCTAGCTTGCTGGCTAGCTAGCTAGCAAAAGGAAGCTGCTCTGGCGCGGCAGCTAGCTAGGAGGCCCTCCACATGCCTGAAGTGCTGAGATGCGGCTCCCCCGAGCCCCCATACGGCTAGCTAGCCAAGCAAATACAACAGCTAGCCAAGCAAATGCTAGAGCTAGCAATCCACCTGGCTAGCCGCCCATTTAGCTAGCTAGCTAGCTACCTAGCCAGCTAGTCGCCTACGTTCAAGCAGCTAGAGGGCAAGGTAGCCCACCAACAGCCCAGCTGCCTCGCTAGCTAGCTAGCTAGCTAGCCAACTAGCTATCAGCCTCGCTAGCTAGCTGGCTTGCCCGCTACCTATCAACCTCTCCAACTAGCCAGCTAGCCAGCAGCAGCAGCTACCGTCCTGGCTAGCTAGCTGGCTAGCTAGCTGGCTAGCGTGTTGCCTCGCTAGCTAGCTACCTGTAGCGATGACGGCTCAGCCTTCGACGCTCTTCCTCGCAATCGCACGAACTTTCTTCTTGTACTTCCTGGATATTATTTTTGTACATATTCTACGCGCCGCAGCACACCAAACCCTAAAAACCCTAAACCCTAAACCCTAAATAAACTCCAAAACCCCAAACCCTCCCTCAAAACCTACAAACCCTAAGCCCTAAACCCTAAAACCCCACACTGCCCACGTATAAAGGTGAATGTATGATTATTATCCGTCAGCAAGCGACCCGTGTCGTAGGCACTGCGCTTAGGGTTTAGGGTTTAGGGTTTAGGGTTTAGGGTTTAGGGTTTAAGGTTTAAGTGTAGTGCTGCATCAACATTAACAGGCGCTTCGCTACCCATTTACAGTTCATTAGGGTTAAGGGTTTAGGGTTTGACGGTCTAGGGTTTTCTTGCACTGGCACATCAACACCAGCAGACGCTTCGGTGTTCGTTCAGGGTTTATTAGGGTATATTAGGGCTCATTAGGGTTTAGGGTTTAGGGTTTAGTGTCGTACCACAGCATCAGCATTAGCAGGGGATTCAATATTGGAATGTAGGGTTTAGGGTTTAGGGTTTAGGGTTTAGGGTTTAGTATCGTACCGCAGCATCAACATTAGCAGGGGATTCAATATTGGGTTCGCCAAGCATAGATATAACAGAAACGAGAATTGCCTCTACACCTAAGATCGGCCTCCACCTCTCTTCTGCTGTTTCTTGCTCGTTAAACATGTCTTGGCCTGGAGGATGTAATATACTTATGCAGACGCGACCGTCGGGAAATACTACAAAAGAATCAGCACAAACAAATGCAAACAAACAAATATATATAAATCTATATATATATTATATATAATATATAATAACTCAATATATCATCATTCAACACAAGGGTAATTCAGCATACAAAAGAAGAAAAACAAAAAAATATGCATTTGGTATACACATAATATATTTCAATATATATTAATTTCATAAAGATTCTATAATCATACATCTTAAACCCTAAACCCTAAACCCTAAACCCTAAACCCTACCCTCAAACCCCTACCCCCTACCCCCAAAACCCAAAACCCTAAACCCTATCCACAAAACCCTAAACCCTAACCCCAAAGCCCTAAACCCTAAACCCTATCCCCAAAACCCAAAACCCTATCTCCAAAACCCAAAACCCTAAACCCTAACCCCAAAACCGTAAACCCTAAACCCTAAAAAGAGGTTTTGCTTACCATTAGGATGCCACATATCTTGTTCAAATATCATTTCTGGCGGACTATTCGGGAAATCTTGAGGAAATTTTAAAGACGCTTGAAATATACCTCCTTCATAAAATGTGTCGGGCGGTCCTTCTAAGCAAACCCTCCAACTAAAGAAATTTCCTTCATCGTCTAATCCTACTGAACATCCGCTGGGGGCATCACGAGATAATTCTGTAAACAACAATAAATAAATATATATATATAATTATAAATATAATTATAAATATATATAATTATATATATAGTTGTATTGTTTTATTTATTTATCTTTCAATCGTAAGAGTAGTAGGATTCAGACGCATACTCATTTTCTTTATATATATATATATATATATATATATATATTATACTTTTATTTATAATAAGCAGGATAAGCATGTATGCAAGAGATATCTCTGTATATATATGTATATATATATAATAATAATAATGTTAAATGTACGCAAGATATAACTCTGAAAATAATAAAAAGAAAAAGAATAATAATAATATTATCAAAAGAATTCAAACAAGAGTTATGTAAAGATTAATTAAATAGACAAATCAAATTATATATAAAATATAATATATAATATATAATATATAATACATAATATATATACATATATATATGCATATATAATAAATATATACAATAATATAATATAGAGAGACAGCTTCAATAATATATAATTATACACGTAAGAAACAGGATAAAGATTATATAATAAATAATTAAGATGCAAATAAATATGATAAGCATAATAAATATAATTAATAGATATAATTGATAAATAAATATAATTAGCGAAGAACTAAGAAGAATAATACAGGAGGCAAAGATAAATGAAGATAATAACAAATATAATGCATATAAATATAAACATATTACATAATATATGAATATAATAATAAATATACAGATAATATATAATATTATAATAAACAGACTACTGTATTATATATACATATATATACACACAACTATATATATATTTATACAACTATATATATATATATTTAGATAAATGCAAATGAGTCAATGTCCATTCGATTAATAACAGACAAATTTGTGGGTATCGTGTGCATCTCAGAGCGGCGCACGAGCAGCAGCAGCAGCAGCAGCAGCAGCAGCAATAGCAGCAGCAACGGCAGCAGCAATAGCAGCAGCAGCAACAGCAGCAGTAGCAGAAGCAGCAGTAGCAGAAGCATCATTAGCAGAAGCATCATTAGCAGAAGCATCATTAGCAGAAGCAGCAGCAGCAGCAGAAGCAGCAGCAGCAGAAGCAGCAGCAGCAGCAGCATAAAGGCGTTAGTGTTGCAGCAGCAATAGCAGCAGCAGCAACAGCAGCAGTAGCAGAAGCAGCAGTAGCAGAAGCATCATTAGCAGAAGCATCATTAGCAGAAGCATCATTAGCAGAAGCAGCAGCAGCAGCAGAAGCAGCAGCAGCAGAAGCAGCAGCAGCAGCAGCATAAAGGCGTTAGTGTTTAAATGCTTCAGACAAACAAAGAAGTAAAAGACTCAAAAAATTTATTATTATGAATTACCAATGAACTGCTTCTTTAAAAGCTCGCGCGCCACGTTCGTCATTGCAGCAGAATCTCGCAAGACAAACAGCAAAAAACAAGTGCAGGATATGACTGCAGCAGTAGCTGCTGCTGCTGCTGCTGCTGCTGCAGCGGTAAAGGCTGCTCTACGCAGCTGTATGAAGTTCTGCAGGCCGCTGAAATACGCACGGCGGGCGCTGCTGATGTGATGGTATGCGTTATATGCTGCGGTTGCAACGAACAGCAACAGCAGCAGCAGAAACAGCAGCAGCAGCAGCAGCAGCAGCTGGGAGAGGTCGGATGTAGCTGGCTTTTGCTGCAGCAGGAAATTTAGTGGAAACCCTGTGACTGCAGCAGCTCCTGAATACTTCCGAGAGCCGCATGCAGCGGCAGCAGCAGCCGCAGCAGCAGCAGCAGCAGCAGGAGCGCTGCAGCAGGCTAGAAGCAATCCTTGTGATTATATAAAGAAACAAAAATGATAAATAGAAGAGCTCGCATCACTTAGAAGGTCTACTGCAGCAAAACTGAACAGAATTCAAACGTATGCTGCACCGAGAGAGGCTGCCTCCGTTGCTGCTGTTGCTGCTGCTGCTGCAGCTGCTGCTGGAGAGGCGGCAACAGCAGCAGCAGCAGCACTAGCTGGTGCTGCAGCAGGCAGCAAGCAGATTTCCTTAACCGGTATTATATCAAATGTTACTCTTATTGTTATTCTTCAGGAAATTTGCATTATTGACCCCTGAGACATGCAAGGCTTGTCTGTGTCTTGCTGCTGCTGCTGCTGCTGCTGCTGCTGCTGCTGGCGCTGCTGCTGCGCAGCCGTAGGGGTCGCGTCGTTTCAGGTTTGAACAGTTAGTTAAAAATGATTAAAAATGCTATTTATTATTTAAAAACAAATGCTGAGATAATTTAAATCAATCAGTTTGCTGCTATTGCTAGTAATTATTACTGCATTCACCTTCTTCGGCTGTACGTACACAGACATATCTTAGTAAGGAAGGCTACT